AATTATTTAGCCACGTCTCAGTAATTGCAAGGAAAAGCGGTTTTTCATTATTAAGGAGGAGTTCACAAAGATTCAGTTTAGTCACGCTACTGTTTGTTTCCGATTTTGATCGCAAACTTCTGATGTTCGTCATGTAGGCTGAGTCTTTTTTCCATCCATTGCCCTTACTTTTGGAGTTAATCATATTCAAAAAAAAAATATGTCACACTTCTGTCAGCTGCTATGTTTCTTCTGTGGTAAATGTATGAGAACGTTCTGAACAGAAAGGGAAGAAAAATAGGGAGATAAATGTCACGTTGTTTCAACAGTATAACAAAAAAAGTAAAACTGAAATAAGTAGAGAGCATCAATATGTCACGCCTAACTGTTCTGCCGACTGCACTCCGCAAATACGTCTGCTAATGCAAGAAAATAAAATAAATAGAAGTAGAATAAGGAAGAGGCTATGTTGTAACTGGAGAAGATCAAGATTAAAAAAAATGTTTCGCAATATGGAGATCAGGAGACTAACTAGACCAAAGAAGGAAACAAAAAAAAACAGAAAAACTGAACCTGTTTAGATGTTGTTTATCATTCTACTATATTGATAATTTCTTCAATGTCTTTTTCTGTTTCGATTAATCTTGCCTTGCTTTTTAATTCTGAACGGTATAACACGCGACCATTTCGAATATAGACATGAAATTTTTTAGCATCCGATACTTTAGTACGCATTTTGTTGTACAAGCCCATTGTCCTCTGCGTGCAATCTTCGAAGACGACATATTTTCGGCCTTGTGGTTGTTGAAGTTTTTTTCTTTTTTTTAACAGCTCCATGCACATTTCTCTTGAGTAAAAACACGCAATAACGCCACGTTTACCATCCCTGACGCCACCAGTGAAATGAGCTACTTCAATGTCATCTTTTGTCAGCTCAACATTCATACATTTGGCTATCTCAACAATCTGTTCTTTAGGATTTTCTTCTTCTTTGATTCCATGAAAATGAAGATTATGCGAACGTGATCTTCGTTCCAAATCATCGATTTTTAATTCCAGCTGTTCAAGACGTTGAGTGACGATACTCGTGATTGGTATGGTTAATAATTCTGCGATACGGTTGATTGATTTAGTAAAGTCGCCATCATTATTCGTAACAATTTGTTTTATATCATTTACCACATTTGAATCCGTCTGCAGACATTCTTTGATGGCTGATGTTATGGATGATGGATCCAATGGTTTAGACATAGATTTGGGGCCTCTTTTGTGATTAATAAACCCAAAATTGCTTCTTCCCTTGTTAGTCGTTGTTTCGGATAGCATTATTATTTGAAAAGGGTATACACGATAAATGTGTGCGTACAGTCAGAGGAGAGTCCAAAAAATTTATTTGAAAAAAAAAGAAAAGAACATGGACGGTATATGTGTATGTGCAGTCAGGCGAGAACAGAATTAAAAGAACATATACGTCTTACTCTCGTGATAGAAAAAGTTGAAGAGAGACTTTCACGACCATCCCACTCTTAATAATGATTACCATTTCATATTCAACCAACGTTACAAAATTTGAACACTTTATTAAGAAATGGGAAAATGTTGTTGTGAGTTGCTGTCCTTTTTCTAATTCTTCGTGTGTTCTAAATCAAATTCAGTGCACGCAATTAGCTCAACTAAATGAATATTTAATTGATAACTTCAATGACAACGAACAAAAAACATTAAAAGACTTATTAGCCAAAAAGGCACGAGAAAAACAAGATCAGCCCGATTCAACCCAATCATAAAAAACCTCATGTGGATCAAACATTAAAATGGCAACAGGATATCTATTTATTTTATTATTTTTCCTTCTAATATTAAACTAGACTATAAAACAAGCGAGCAGAGCAGTTCTTAGCAAACTAAAGTGCGATGTTCTACTTTCTTCGTTATTTTTACAATAAATAAAACATTTTCTCTATTCATAAACACATATTTTGTTATTACAGACATGTGGCAAAAGGATACAGCGACGTTCCCAGCACTAGACCGCTGTCAAAGAATTGACTAGTATTTCTTAATTAGCACAAAAAAACGCAGAGCTATGCGGAATTCGATAGCGACACCTTCTGGAGGTGGCAATAGCTGTCAGTGACACTTTCCGAAGGTGGCAATAGCTCCTTGGTGACACCTCTGAAGGTGGCAATAGCCGTCAGCGACACCTTCTGGAGGTGGCAATAGCGCCACCCTTCTTTTCTTCAGTACTGCGATTATGATGCGCATGAACAGAACAAGCAGTTACCGACTGAAAAATATCGCCAGCTTTTTTTAGCGAGCCTTTCATATTTCTGAAATAACTCTCTCCAGATCTCCGATCCTGTGCTCCACACTTGTCCACTAACCATGACGATACATATACCATTCGATAGAGAATTTCCCGCGCTACAATTTCATATATATATGATAGTGAAAAAAGTGCCCTGGGATCCCCTTGACATTAGAAATACTGTCTGGAAAGCCGTGAAAAGTGGGTAACTTATTCCGCGGTGACGATCCTGTGCTCCACATTTGTCCACTAACCACGACGATACATATACCAGTCGATAGAGAATTTCACGAGCTTTAAAATGAGCGGCAAACAAGTCTTTCAAAAATATGCCCACATGGGTCAATAGTTGAAATACTTGTCCGATATAATGATTTTGACCTATCTTAGTGCTTTGAACACTCCGTTAGTCGTTTTTCTGCCATAATGAAAATTATGTATTGTTCCAAAACATACCACTGGATAGCCCGTGAAATTCTCTACAAAGTGAGCTGGTCACAATATCCAGACAGGTGGGGCCTGTCATTAAAGATATGGAAAAGAAGCTTTTGGGTGTTATCTAAGCAGTACCGCGTGTCATAATCACAAGAACTCCCTTGTTTTTGACCTTTTAGTAAAAGCTGGAACCAATCTGAATAGTGTTTTGAATGGCTCGAAGATTTTTCTATCAGATTAGGTCCATATCGGTCTTTCATGAGAAAAGTTGATAATACAGCTTCTGGAAAACCTGACTGCTTAAAAACCAAGTCCTTAATTTTTGGTGAGAAAATTTTGCAAACCATATAGCCTGATAGAGCGAAAAATTTTGAACAAAATAAGACTTCTTCCGGCAATCTATAGCGCTCTTTCACGCAACTGTAGTCGATTTACCACTGACCACAAGGGGCGTCAAAGTTACCAAAATTTTCCGGTGAAAGAGCGCTATAGATTGCCGGAAGAAGTCTTATTTTGCTCAAAATTTTTCGCTCTATCAGGCTATATGGTTTGCAAAATTT